CTTCAGTGGCAGGAGACAACGATGCAGCTTGCAGGAATGCATCGCATTTGCAGCTAGAAGATTTCGACGGAGACGAAGGATTCGCCGATGTAGTGGCTGCCTTTTCCACATCTCTCTCTGCTTCATATGCTAGAGCAGCTTCAATCTCGAAATCACTAGGTCCAGAAAAATCTCTGTGGGATGAAAGGGGCGCTTGGCACACAAAGACGCTGAGACGTTCAATCTTCCCAGGGTCGAACAATAAGGGCGACGCACGGGGTCTACCCAGATAAACCCAGTCGTAGAAGCTTCGACCCGTGGATCCGCTTATCCTTTTCGAAAGATACAGCAAACACGAAATGAGCGCTGGTCCAAGCGCACCATTGGCCAATCCATATGCAAGGGAGCCTTCCAGTGTTTGCTTCACAAGGCCATGTAAATTTTTCAACACATACAGCCTCCTGGGCCACCAGTCTTTGCTCACAACAGCTGACAGCACATCTTTCACCAAGGCGTCAGCCTCACTTTCGATTGCCAGGTGCAACAAATCAAATAAGTACTGGGCACGGCACTGATACAAAGGCTGCAGATCTCTATGGAAACATGGAACACCAGCTGTGCGAAGCACAAGCAGGTTGCAAATGGATTGCTGGCACGTGTGATCCAGGAGCATGGCTTGAGCCAGCTGCAACGAAAAGTGACAAACATGTCAAGCCAGACTTCATACAAATGTCACGGCCCCTGAAACCACTGCGAAACAACCCTGATCTCAGCCAACTTATTTCGCCCGTCCTGCAAAATCTGCTCTATCCGCAAAGATTTCTTCTCGATCAGCAGATTCTCTATGAAATGCTTTGATCTCTCCGTCAAACCGCTCTCGCACGATCCGTACAGCCTTAAGCAACAGAGGAAGCTGAACTGTGCAAAAAAAAAACAAAGAGAAGGGTTACGCACTGAGGTCATGCTCAAAATCAGACAACTGAGGATGTTACATCTATCGTCACGACGATATAAATATACGTTTTCAAAAACATCTGCTTATAGCCGCAGAAATGGAAAACGAAGTCTACTAACATTGGTAATTTGGGTATATATCTATATATATATATATCTTTCTATACATATATATATATATATAGACACAGACACATATATCAAGATACAACAACGGCCTAGCCCATGCCACTGTCAGTGAGACCTGCAGAAGCGAAAAAACAAGGCTCAACACAAACTCAACATATGCACGCAAGAATCCGGCCACGTCCTCGATGATGTTCATCAGCTGTCATTCGAATCTGTAAGGTCGGTGACTTGTAGCACGCAACACCACGCCAGTCACAACCGGCACACTCCCGGCAAGTGAACCGAAGATGAATCGGTCCTCCTTCGCGGGAGTTATTACTGAATGCCACTTTGACGTCCACCCACGCTAACACCTTTTCCTTTATCTGAGCGAGATCCCAAGTCACGTCGGGGTCATGAGTCTCCTCACGCTGCAGTGTCAGCTGCGGAGCTTCATTAGCGGCTGGACGTTTACAAGCCTGCCTATTAGCAGGCCGCTTCATTGAACCTGTGGACACTGCGGATTCTCAAAAACAATGTGCACGCCAGCTGGACCCCAAGCCCCGTTCTGTTTTTGATGTTTCCCCGGGGTATGCATGAGTTGCGCTATGGCCGTGGAACGCTCCCCCGTTTGCGAGAAACATCCGGTCCGGGGTACTCCGTAGAGGAACCGCTTACAGGAGTCTCAGACTAAATTTCAGGCAGCGGCAGCATTCCTAGTACCAGTGCTGATAACAGCATAGTAGTAGTAGTAGTAGTTCTAGCGATAGTAGTAGGAGTAGTAATAGTAGTAGTAGTACTAGTAGTACAAGTAGTAATTCTGATAACAGTACTAGTACTTGTTGTTGTAGTAGGAGTAGCGGTAGTAGTAATAGTAGTAGTTGTTGTAGTTATATAGTAGTAGTCGTCGTCCTAGTAAGACAACAACGAAAGATACATCTTTTTACATACTAGACATTCAATAGGTGTAAACACACATATTGTACACCAGTCTGGACCCCTAGCCCCGTTCTGTTTTTGATGTTTCCCCGGGGTGTGCATGAGTTGCGCCATGGCCGTGGAACGCTCCCCCGTTTGCAGGAAACATCCGGTCCGGGGTACTCCGTAGAGGAACCGCTTACAGGGGTCTCAGATTGAATTTAAGATAGTAGCAGCATTCCTAGTACCAGTGCTGATAAAAGCATAGTAGTAGTAGTAGTTCTAGTGATAGTAGTAGGAGTAGTAATACTAGTAGTAGTAGTAGTAGTAGTAGTAGTAGTAGTAGTAGTAGTAGTGGTAGTAGTAGTAGTAGTAGTACTAGTAGTAGTAGTAATAGTAGTAGTAGTACTAGTAGTACAAGTAGTAGTTCTGATAACAGTACTAGTACTTGTTGTTGTAGTAGGAGTAGCGGTAGTAGTAATAGTAGTAGTTGTTGTTGTAGTTATATACCAGTAGTCGTCGTCCTAGTAAGACAACAACAAAACATACATCTTTTTACATACTAGACATTCAATAGGTGTAAACACACATATTGTACACCAGTCTGGACCCCTAGCCCCGTTCTGTTTTTGATGTTTCCCCGGGGTATGCATGAGTTGCGCCATGGCCGTGGAACGCTCCCCCGTTTGCAGGAAACATCCGGTCCGGGGTACTCCGTAGAGGAACCGCTTACAGGGGTCGCAGACAAAATTTTCTGGGGGTCACTTCCAAACCACCCCACCATGCGGCAGTCAATATTTGATGCTGACCTTCGAGCCATGCCATCAAGAGGCGCCAACACCAGGTGGAGCACTCCCAAGCCAGCCAACATAGGGAGGTGGGGGTGGTGGGGTGTGGGGGGGGGGGGCGGGAGTTGGGGGGGGGGGGTACTTGCGCAAGAAACCCTGCCGACAACTGCTGCTCGCATGCTTTTTAACCCACAAGCTCACCATTCAATGGACGCGGTGTCAGAGTAGATGCTTTCAGGCGTCCACTGCTGCAGCTCTAATCGGCCACTTCGGATAGTTAATGGAGACGAAGATTCCGAGGGACGCTCCGGGCCAGGAGCGCCAGGAGTGCCAGGAGGGCATGTGCAGCTCGCCACGTTGGCTTGCGCAGGCGCTGCGTGTGATCCTTGTGTCTCAGTTGCAAGCACCCGCAGTCGTAGGCTCGCTGTGAAGACAGCAGCTCCTGCCATCGGCGAGCCCAAGAAGACTTCAGATGAGCATGGTGCGCCACCAGTTTGGTCACATCCGGGACAACCTGCGTGGGCCCTGCAAAGGCAGCTCCAATCATTTGGAAGCTCATCCTGTCCAGCACCAAGACATTCATCCAGAACCATGGACAGAGATCACGATGCTGGTGAGAGCTTACACCGGAGAGCCTGAGCAAAATTATACAAGCCACGCACTCCGCAGCAAGAGCATAGGAGGCATGTGTCGGGTGGACTGGCATTTCGCGGAGCCGATCTTGGGCCAGGGGCGCGGCTTTCGTACCAAAAGTGCACTAATGCAGCAGCCTGGGCTTCCCTCGCAAGCGTGGCCCCAACTCCCCTGTCAACTTGCTTTATCTCCCTAGTGTAAGATCATTTGCCTCAGGCTCACACAAGGCGCCGACCGTATACTTTGACAAAGCTTTAGTCTGGCCCTTAATTTGGGTAAGCACTTTCCAGGGGCGCCGAATTTCCCAGCCTTGGTTTTGGGCATGGCTGATCTGAAAGAAACCCAAAACAAAGGGGCCGCAAGCTACACTTTGATCCTTTCCTCCTGTTGCCACAACGTCGCCCCATCCCCCGCCATCGCAGCCTTGAACTGCGCTCTGCTGGGGGATGGGGCGCGCTCTGAAAGAAACCCAAAACAAAGGGGGCGCAAGCTACACTTTGTCCGAGACTCCATGACGTCAGTCTAAATAGCTGATTCCAAGGTAAACCAGTCTGCGTGCACAACTGAGCCGGGCCTCGCGTGCACAACCGAGCCAGATTCTCGCGTGCACAACCGAGGCACCACCCTCTCAAACCACCCCAAAAAACCGGGGAAACCTGAAAAAAGAAAACGAACCGAAGTCAGGCTTCGGAGAGGTGCCACAACTAAACTTCAATCGAATGGTTGGTGTGCTGCTTTCCTTTTTGGAATGGCCTTATACAACTGGGGGTGCAACTGGGTCTGGAGCTACTCAATAGAGGGTCGCAAATGGTTTTGGCTTCCGTCCAGGAAATCTTCAAACAACACAAACCCAAGTCGATCCTTGCGGATGGGTCATCAGATCAGGGCATGCTCATCAGTCAGGTTGGGATTCCTCAGGCCCCTTCTTCACAAAAGGCATCTGCAATATATGCCCTTGCAAAAAGACACGCTTCGTCGTACAACGAGGAGTTGTGCGCGCCAAACCCTGTTGGCGGAAGGAAATAAACTGAAACATCAACTTGGCAAAATAGCTAGTACTTCCCAAGCATGGAAAAGGAACCAACCAAACCAACCAACCTACCAACCAGCCAGCCAGCCAGCCAGCCAGCCAGCCAGCCAGCGAGCCAGCCAAACCAACCAACCAGCCAGCCAGCCAGCCAGCCAACCCACCAGCCAACCAACCCACCAGCCAGCCAACCAGCCAGCCAGCCAACCAGCCAATCAACTAATCAATCAACCAATCAACCAATCAACCAATCAACCAGCCAATCAAGCAACCAAGCAACCAAGCAACCAAGCAACCAAGCGACCAAGCGACCAAGCGACCAAGCGACCAAGCGACCAAGCGACCTAGCGACCTAGCGACCAAGCGACCAACCAACCGGCTAAAGCTGCCTTGCATTCTTCCCAACCCGCAGTATCTGAGCAAAACATGCTGCTTTTTGCGGCCCCTCCATAGAAATGATTAGCACCCAAAACGAAAACAACTAAAACACACACCGGGAACGGTAATTCGCAAAAAACCTTCCATGATTCATTCCTTCCCCCCCCATCTTCCCCCCCGCCGCGCACCGCCCAGCAACTCCTCAGCCGCGGCGCTGCAGATCTGGCTGCAGGGCGCGGCTGATGAGTTGGGACAGCACGGAGTACCACATCCACGGCGGCAGCTTCCGTGCCTCGCGTTGGGCGCTTCTCACTTCCGTGGGGGGGGGGGGGTGGCTGGGGGGGTGGCCGGGACTCGTTAAAACCGGAGCTCCGACAGGTTTAGGGGGCCGAGTTGTGATGCGTTCTTCGGTTGCACCCCGAAGACTTGACAGCCGCGACCGGAGCCAGCTGACGGGGAATCGGCCCATATCGGGACAATCTCATTGCTTGTTCACCCGAGAAACGAGTGAATCGCCACCCCTTTTCACAAACACCCTGCCACCTTTAGCCTCCCCCAAGCGAATGTGTGACCTTTGTACCAAGCCCACGGTTGGTTCCACAAATAATAATAATAAAAATAATGATAATGATAATGATATTGATAATGATAATAATTATAATTATAAGTATAATAATGATAATAATAATGATAATATAATAATAATAATAATAATAATAATAATAATAATAATAATAATAATAATAATAATAATAATAATAATAATAATAATAATAATAATAATGATAATAATAATAATAAATGATAATGATAATGATACTGATAATGATCATAATCATAATCATAATCATAATGATAATAATAATAATAATAATAATAATAATAATAATAATAAACGCTGACCGTTGGGTCGACCAACACCATACAAAGGTTTGATCCAAGTTAGCATGCCGGGAAATGACACATGCAGTTGCATGTCTGTGTGTGTGTGTCGAGGCTTCAAAGCCACTTTGAGAAACACACATCTGTTTGTCTCCCAAAACAAGCAAATCAACCCCTAACTTCCCCTTACTGGCGCACACAGAAAGGAACCATCTCAAGAACATATTATCCAAATGTGCTGTAGATCCCCAGCATTCTTAACATGTTGCCGCAGGTTAAAAGGAAATATGAGGGGTATCCAGAAAGTTAGTCTAAATAATATCATGGCCTTTGTCGAATTGCTTGTTGAATTACCCTCCCAGCTTTGTTCACATGGAACCTGACGCTTGGGAGGGTCCTGGTTTGGACCATTTGCCTGTTAAAGGGACCATTTGCCTTTTAAAGGGACCATTTCCCTGTCAGGTTCCGGCTGTTCATTGGTGGGACCACGAGGCTCTAACGCTTTGGTCTCTCTCCTGGTTGCAACCCCTTCCTTTGGGGGGCCCAACAACCCGAAAACACATAATAAAACAAATAACATGAAATACAAAGTAACCAACAAAAAAACACGGGAAACAAAAAGAAGACAAACAAACAAAAAAAGAACACAGGGGAAAAAAGCGTCCGAGGCCGCAGTCGCCTGGCTGGAGAACTCCTGGGCCATCTCCGTCTTGTAGAAGTCCACCTCGATCCGGAGGCGCCGGTTTTGTTTGTTTCCCCCGGTTTCGGGCACCGTCCGAAAACCATCCCCCGCAAAGGGGAAACCACTTTTTCTTTTGGGGGAGGGGGGAGGGCCTTGCTGGTGCGCTAGGAAATGAAAGGAAGCCATAGGGAGGGAATGAGAAATGGACTGAACCATTTTGGGATTCCCGAAGAAAGGTAACCATAGGTTGGATGGTTGTTCTTGGGGTCATTCCAATTCTCATTTCCTTCTGAGCACCGGCAAGTTTCTCACCTAGAAACATCACCCCCTACCAGCCCCCCCGCTCCCAACACGTGGGTTCAGGGTTGGCCTACCATAAGCCCCCCAATGCAGACATGCACACATACAGTCATACACGCATACGGTCATACACGGGCGCTGCCAAAAAGGGGGAAGAGAGTTCCAGGCCTCGCAACATTCCCAGGCCAGCTGCAGCAGTCGGTTGAGGATGAAGTGGAGCCCTCAGATCGCTTGAACTCTGGGCGTGTGGTGAGCAGGCAGCAGGGGTCGGCTGAAATCTGATCAACCAAACATGACATCTGTCCAGCCAACCTTGAATTATAAACCGAGGGCAAGGCCAGACGTTTAAACCACGTTCAAAAAAGAATCTGTGAGTCTTAAAGGGACCAAATCGATTCGGTGTACATAAATATTCTACCCCGACCAACCCTTGGAACTCTTGGTATGTTAGACAGAGACTTTCTTCTTTGCAGCCCCCCAGTCAAAATGAAGAACTAAGAAACCAAAAAATGTGCCAAGAACAGCGAACTTGTTCCAAGGCTCGCTTGGTGCCCCTCTGCAGCGCTTGCAGATAGCCACGGAACGTGAAGACCACCAGGTTTTTGCGATCGAAGGGGCTGGACCTCAGCAAATGGCCACAAAAAAGTGGCGGACACTGCGCGCCAAGCACTGGTTGAGTCATACAATTGCCCTTCCTGAAATGCACATGTTTGTCTTCCCTCAGGGGCTGCGTTTGGAGGTGCTTTAGGCGTTCCCCCCCGAAGAAAGGGAGCTATTCGTCTTCAGAATACATCTTTTGCACAGCCGTGAACCCCGCAAAGAGGGCAACGCGTATTCTAAGTTGCTGCTTTTGGGAGTGTGAGGGGGAGCCGGAGCTTCCATTTGCTTAAGACCCCTGGACAAAATAAAAAAGATACTTCCAGTAGTGATAAAAACTATTTAAACCCAACAAGGGGACATATTTTTTCTTAAGCAAATGGAAGGGAGTAGTCTTGCCACAAATAAAGTCGCACCCACACCTTGTGCCCGGGCCATCCCCCTGCACCTACCGGCCGTGCCGGCCGTGAGCAGGCACAGCGAACTCGCGTGATTTCACAATCTATTGAGAAGCATAGGTGGCCTTTTGGAAACATAGATGACCCTGGTAAATGGAATAAACCCCGTCTAAACCAGGTCCCTCTATCTATTTTGTAAGCAAACCAACCAAAAAGGACACCTATGTTGAACAGACTGCGGGAAAAATACAAGAGACTACAAGACCAGACCAGCAAACGGCCGATAGTTTTGACAAATCCACCTACAAAGCGCCAATACTAAACAACGCAGTCTACAGTTCTGGCCCAAAACCCGGGGACTCTAATCACCAAGGTTTGTTTTCTGGGGGGGGGGGGAAATTATTGCGGGAAAGGGCTGAAAAGGGGAACCCTTTGATTTGAAAACAAGCGTTCAGAATGCAACTTTTGAACAAGAGCTTTTGAACAAGAACTTTTGAAGGGAAGGCGCTGCTTCTTTCTTCAATCAACAACGCATTAATCAAAAGCAAGGAGGGAACCCTTTGTTGACCTCCTCTTGTTAAAACCCTTGCTAATCAAATATCATTTGAGGGAGGCAGGACAGGCAGGGAAACACATAGGCAAAGCAATGCAGGGAACCCCTCCCAATGGAGACCCTGATGCAAACCTGTCACGCAAGGCAACCCTTTGGTTCGAGGGAGAAAGCGCTCAGAATGCCACTCTTGAGCTAGACCAGGGTCACCCCTGAAAAGTACATCTGAAAGAGTTTCGCTGAGTGGATCTGTCTTCGGGAGAGTTTAGTATTGGTTTAGTATTGGCAAATTTAATATTAGTATTGGCATTTTTGGGGGTTGGCTGTTTTTTTTGCTAATTGCGGGGGCTCATTGCGGTGCTCGGGACATGTTGGGTGCCATTTGTTGACATTTTTTAGAATGTGGTTCCATTCCATTTTGGGTGCCTAGTTTTGAACTCGGTTGCTTTCTACTCCCCTGCTAAAAGTTTCACTTTTGGTGGTTTAATGGAAAACCCATTAGTTGGCAAAAAGTTAAAGTCCTAACATCCACGCAAAATGCATCAAAGTTGACACACCCCCACCTATAAAAATTGCCCGTGTTCTTTTTTGGAATAGCTCACCCATGTCCCTCCTGGGGCCGCCGCTCCATGCGCGCTCTCTTGCTGTGCGAGCCTCAGGTCGCAAACGGGAAAAACGGGACATCTCCTTTGTTTTGCTTTTCTTTGGGAGGCGTGGCGGCCTCTTGGCCATATGGGTGGGTTCCTTGTTTTCAGTAGGTACTTGCCTCCCCTTTTGGTTCGCTTTAAAGGAAAGCCAAAAGGAAGACGGTTTTGCTCCTCTCTTGGCCCCCTTCCATTCATCAAGCAGGGGCTTGCTAATCCTGGGATAATATCGCCTGCAAATTAATTAATCTGGAGCCTATCAAGCCATCATTTTGGGAGGAATCTCCTCTTGGGGGAACCCTTTTTCGGGTTCCATAGTGATCTGAAAGGAACTAGACTTGCTTGCTTTCAGAGCTTAGAATTTGTCCCACTAGTAGTTGCTTGTCTCCAAGAAGATTGGTCCATGCAAACATCTGCAAGTGAGTAGTGTTCCTCTGACGCTGACAATTTCAGTACGGACATGATCTATTTTAGGGGGTTCCTCTAACTGGTACTGTGGATGGACGAAATCCTGCACCACCTAAGAACCATGGTTGAAACCAAAACGGCTGCTAGAATTTCTATGATAATCGAATCACTCCAGGGTTTCTGAATGGTGGTGCGAAATGGTTTTTGCAACCACACGAAATCTGTTGCCCTCCGAAAGTGGGCTGTTTCCGTATTTTTAACCCCTCCCCCTATTTAACTGGGGTTGATTAATATGGAGTCAACATGAGGTCCTCGAAATTCATCCGAATTTGACACCTGCGATCTTTGGTGAACTGGCAAGTCTGAGCCCCGCTGCCGGCGGCATCGCTGATCTGCCCCTTGAGCAAGTAGTCCAGGTACGACGCGTGGTAGAAGAACGCTGCCTGCACGCATAGCTCAGCAGGGAAGTGTCTTGAGTGTTTGTCATAGGTTGTAACTCACCTTGTACGTACCAAGTGGGACCTTTCCAACTGGATCATTGCCTGTCCCTTTTTTGAGAAGCGGTTCCTTGTTCGTAGAAAACTACCCCACGAAATCACCTTCGGCCGAGCACTCAAAGGTAGGGCCCAAACGCCACTGCACATTGACTGTCGGGGCCTGTGTATCTTATGTTTATGTTGCCTCCAAACGGGTCTAAAACGGGCACTCAGTTTTTTGCTTGAGGGGCATGGTGGTGAGGTTTTATCAGTGGTCTGATCCGCCCCCTTGACCACTGAATGAAACTTCCAGAAAAATCGCCACGGAATCCACGGAGAGCGCCATAATTATGTTGCACATATGGAAGTAGGGAGCAACGACCCGGGTCCTTCACTTCAGGACGTAGGTTGCTCTGCCCGAGCAAAGAGCAAACCCTTTGTAGGTTTTGAAACGAATAGGGAATGAACCCCTAGAAGCTTGCGGGCTGTCCAAACATCCCCTGCTAGCTTAAAATTTCGCGGCTTCAAGCAAACGAAACCAAAACTACAAATTCCCAGAAGCCGGACGATTCGCTGGGAACTGCCAAGCTGATTGATGCTTCGGAGTCGCGCTTGCCTATGCGAACCTCGGTCTCTCGGAGGTGCTCCCTGCCTCATCTTCGAGGCGATCTCTTGCCTGCGGCAGCTTCCATGCGACGGACAGGAGAGAGATTCATCTGGAATCTGAAACAGAGGGAACCGCCCCAAAGGAAGCTGGAACAAATATACATATGCCCAGTAGTGATAGATTTCCTTGAAAGCCAAAACGGGAAATCTAGGTCCCCAGCCAGGTGCTGAGACGTTCTCATATTGGCTGTTTCGGAGACAAACACGCACATTTGGATAATATGTTGTTAGCTTCAACAAAACTAGGTCCGCCGGCTAGGTGCCCTTTTTCACCGTTTCTTTTGGTTGGCAGGGTTCCCCTACTAAAATAGACTACAGAAGAAAAAAAAGAATGATTCGAACCTCTCTACTGGAGGACCTAGTGAAGCTATCCGTTTGCGAGCTGCCTTGAGCTTGGCTTGCGTGCTGTGAAAGTTTAATCTAAGTTTGCTTGAACTGAAAATTAATTAGCGCGCGCTCCGGGGTAAGGTCTGCAGATGAAAGCAGCAGGGATACCTTGCCCTCCAGCAAGTGGTTGGAAGGGAGGCTCGGGGGGACATGAACAGCCCCATTTGAATAAACCCTGGTTTATTCATGGGGGGTGTCCCTGCGGTTAGCGCTTTTGGATATTTAGATTATATTCAGTGTCCGATTGAATTCTACAGATAATAAATAAATATGGTAGTCTCATGAATATTTAGCAGGGATAGTGTTGACTCCATATGAATCAACCAACCTGTTTAGTAATACGGGGGTGTGCCTGGGCGAAATGTGGGGATTCAGACCACTTTTGAAGGGGAACACCCAGAGGTTGGTCTACAGCTAAACAAACCAGCAGGGATACTTGCCCTCCCACCTTTTTTCACATGGAACCGTTCGACGTTGGCGGGGTCCTGGTTTGGACCATTTTCCTTTTAAAGGGACCATTTCCCTGTCAGGTTCCATGTTAATTGGAGGGAGGGTAGATTCTGTCTAGTTTTTAATTGAGTTCTAGTTCAAGGTG